CCAACGTCTGCCACAGGGAACAGGTGGATTATAGTCGCCACTGATTACCTCTCTTGCTATGCGGAGTCTAAAGCTATGCAACGCGGCACAGCAACAGAGGCCGCTAAGTTCTTCGTAGAAAACATCGTCCTTCGGCATGGCGCTGATCAATCAATGATCACAGACAGAGAAACTGCCTTCACCGCAGAACGTTCGGAGTCTGTTCTCAGGCTCTGCGATACAGCTCACCGGAAAACAACTGCATGCCATCCGCACACCAACGGATTAACGGAGCGCTTCGATAAGATCCTCGCAGATATGCTCCGATTGCACGTACGTCGACACGAAACATGATAAGTGGGGTCAGGTGTTGCCTAGCGTGACTTTCGTTTACAATACTGCCTGACAAGAAACTGCTTGTATGACACCGTTCAGTTTGATCCATAGTCGCGAAGTTACGAACACGCTCGACGTCATGTTGCCGCACGAGTGTGACGACATCCATACAGATGCCTAAGAATTCTCTGTGTGCTGAGGAAGTCCGACAGCTTGTGCGCTTGCACATCTGTCATAAGCAACATCAAAATGAAAATTGGTATGACCCACGACATAGGATGGAAAAACGTTTACTACATAGAAAAAAAAAGATATAAGGGCTAGAAACAGGTAGGTGGGGCCCCTAGTCCAGAGCTCCACTGGTCTCAGCAGCCCGCCGCGCCTGGTTCAGGAGCACCACTTGGGCCTCCCTTTCCTCGCTGGTGAGCAAGGTCTCCCAATGCTCCATCGTGAATTTTTTCGCCGAAATCTGAGGCGTATTTGCTTTAGCTGGCCTTAGCTTACATTACCATGAAATGTTAGCAAGGGTTGGCTGTCCTCCACACCAAGGGCAAGAACCCGCGTATGCGGTTGGGTGCATCGCATGTTTTAAACGCACATGCGGATATGTATTTGTTTGCAGGTGGTGCCACTCATGCGCTTTTTTTACTCAGCCGAGAATGGGGCGGTGAGTATCGCCGTCGTTGTCGACGCCGGTGTTCGAAGATATCTTGAGGGGGGGGGGGGGGGAGCCTGGAGTAGAAAACGGGTATTTGGACGAGGGACAGGTTGCTCGGTGAGTAATAGCTCTAGCTGCACTGTCATAAGTTTATTAGCTACATCAGGCGACAAACTATGGGCCTGGATTCCAATACGTCCAACGCGGGCTGTCTGAAAAGCTGCTAAGACGTTAATTGGGCTATTCACAGCCGCCCGAGGCTTGAAGGACGTGAATCACGAGGTTGTTCCCCGACAGTGATTGTAGTTCCAAGCACCCAAAGCATTCAACAAGTCGTGCACGTCATGCGGATGAAACGGTGCTTATCCAGTTATCTCTCGGTTGCCGTGTGGGTGCGACCGATGCATACGCGTACGCTTCGCTAAGTAGAGTGCCTAAGTTGTCCACCGTGATTAGCCTCTTTCGCAGGGAAGCCTATGCCACGTGCTTGCAGCCAGAAATCAAGAAAGACAACAATGCAATTATGAATGTGCTATGTGGTGCAATAGAAAGGACAAAGAAGCGTGTGGTATAAAAAAAGGGTGACCTGCTGCTGTTGTTTCAATCTCTGCGTTAAGACCTCTGTTTTGGCATCATGGTAATATGCTTTGCAAGAGCTGTAGAAAAAGAGCTGTATGGTTTAACTAGAAGACCACTGAGCCTATTTAGCATAGGCTAATCGAGCTTTGAAAGCTTGAAATGTTTTGTAAAGCTTAGCCTCGAGACGGGAACACTATAGCGCCCCGCCGTGGTGGTCTAGAGGCTAAGGTACTCGGATGCTGACCCGCGGGTCGCGTGATCGAATCCCGGTTGCGGCGGCTGCATTTCCGATGGAGGCGGAAATGTTGTAGGCCCGTGTGCTCCGATTTGGTTGCACGTTAAGTAATCCCAGCGGGTCGAAATTTCTGGAGCTCTCCACTACGCGTCTCTCATAATTATATGGTGGTTTTGGGATGTCAAGCGCCACATATTAATCAAATCCGCTGCTGACCCACCGGTCGCGGGATCAAATCTCGGCTACGGCGGTTGCATTTTTGATGCAAACAAATATGCTGTAGGCCCGTGTGCTCACATTTTTGTGCACGTTAATGAACTTCAGGTGCAAGGTCGGAATTTCCGGGGCCCTTCACTACAGCATCTCTCATAATCATATGGTGGGTTTGGGACGTTCAATCCTTCATATAAATAAATCGACAACACTATAGCACAAGGGTCACCCAAACACGCCCACGCCCACGCACATACGCACACACACACATGGTCATCACATGTGTCGAAGCGTAACCATGATACAAAAACAGTATTTCAATATACGCATCCAGATTTTACTCATATTTGAGTAAAATCAGTTAATTGACCGAAATCCCTGCCCGAAATCATCATCAGAAATGACCCTTATATACGAGATATGGGAGCTGTTTTCTTTTGAATGGCAACGTTTGCTGACAATGTGTACAAACTAACAAGCTTTGCTGCTAACGTCAGCTTTTACGATTTTAAGCCAATAAAGCTGGGCTAATTTTGTTTGGTTTTATTTGGCGATAAATGGGTGTGACCCCATGTAATCTAGACAAGGGGTGGAGGCGGGCTCGTTTGTGTTTGTGCATAATTCTTACATGGAGAAAACGGCACGAACACAGGACGAAGGAAGATGACACGAGAACGGGGCTGACACACGATTAAAATTGTAACACATTTTTTCATGCTCTCCAGAGTAGATACACTCGTGGTTTCTTGAACGAAATTTTAAGTCGGCAGTTAACACCCGTCATCTCTTCATCTTCCTTTATCCCATATTCGAGAAGTTTGTTCTATTTTAGAGCCATACAGAAGCCCACGTGCCATCATCATGGATCGTTGCAGCTGGCATACTTGATTTGTTTGGTACCAAGGGCAACCTGTGACTAAGAATCGTTACCGGCGAACACAACTGGGAGCCTCGTGCACGTAGAGGACATCGTGGAGGTCGTTCTCTGACAATGGCATCACTGTTCGATGAAGCGTGAAGACGTGGTTCTATCGGTGGCTGTCCAGGGACACACTTCTAACCAGCGTGTTGGCCGCGCACCCCTCTTGTGGGGTTTCATAAAATGAAACTCCTCAAGAAGGGCGCGTGGAAAGGGATGCTCTGTTGTTGAGAGAGCACTGTTCTGACGCATGAGCAGTGCATTTTAAAAGAGCCGCTTCCGTGGTGCAAAAATGAATGGTGGTGGTAAACTCAAACACGCACCTGTCTGCCATGTGTCCTCAAGTATTGACGATTAGGCGAGTTGGTTTGTCGTACTTGAACTGGCACATCGCATCACGGGAAAAAAATGACCGAGCCGGCCAACGCAAGAGGACCGAGCGCTAACTTCCAAATGATCTTTATTGCAAAGTGCATCAAATATGTAGCCTTGCGCAAGCATGCGATGACTCTGTCTCATCTTGGCGTGACGATCGGCTGCGTTTTTGTATGTTCGCATCAGACTACATACTTGATGCAATTTGCCAGTAAAAATCGCTTGGATGTTATTGCTTGGTCCTGTGGTGTAGTGCTCGGTCATTTCTTTTCTTTCCCGTTAATCACTATGCCAGTTCAAGTACAGCTATTTTGGTGTTGTGGATTGAAGCTCAGTGACACTGTTCACTGAACATTTTCTATCGACTTCAGGGCGTTTATCGCGCGGCCGTTGTAAACGTGCTTTACAAAGCTGTGTCTAGTCTATTAGAAGTCTGTGAAACAGTCAACAACAGCATGCAACAGCAGTGAATGGTACTTGTCATTTGCGACTACGCGCGAAAACTAAACATCCAATTAAATCACCTCTAACAATTGATGAGATCTTCAAGAAACAGCGGAATAGGAGAAAGCTGTGGGCGCCGTTTCTTGAAAGCCAACTAGCCCTGTGTCACTCTTCACAACAGAATACAGACGTTTAAATAACCGATCGAAAGCATTATATGCGCGTCTTCATTACTAGGTCATCCGTAGATATTACAAACTGCAGTGCTGTGAAATATAGGGGGTGATTACGTCTGAATGGTTACAACGTGAATATGTCATAGGGCGCGGTCGACCATCTGCGTGTCTCGCAGGGGCACCAAATACGTTTGTCTCTGATACCATTGAGACCAAATGTTTTTTCAGGGTGCTCCTCTGAAGTGTTTTCCGGGAAGCTGCGTTCTTGTTGTCGTGTGGTGCGGAAAAGAATGGGTGGGTCATCACCACCGCTCTATAGACATCGCCATTTGGGCCCAAGTTCTTGTAGCTAGGCTCAAGTCATACTACACTGCTTCGACCAGACAAGTATAGGTTAGGACACCGAGCATGGTGATACGGAACAGCCGCAGCGGTCTGACTCCACTGAAAACGTTGTTAGTAGCTGAGAATGTGCTAGACTCCTCTACCTCTAAATATTGACTTGCGTCTAAGCTACGTTTCGCGTAATAATAGCAAAATATGTTTTTTGATGAAATGTAGCTGTTGTGACCATGCCGCGCACAGTATTTCCCGAAAAACTACGAAAACATTTGCAGTACTCATTGTGGAGATTCAGAATGGCAATCTTCTGTTAACCAGACAATTTACGTTACTGTCTTTTGGACTATAACAGAGCAGCATCTCTGCGTTCTAAGCTCGTCCCCAGTGGTGCACTGATCGTGAAATACCGTTATCAGCTGGTCTTAGTGAATTTACAGTGCACGTTTTTTTTTTATATTGCCCAAACACAGTCCATCACGCCAGGCATTTCTGCGGCCACATATGGAATCTTCGGCCGAAAGCCGGTCGAGACCCCGTTTTGGGGCCTCTCGCTGAGAGAGCATAGCAAAGCAGGCGTTACGTCACCCCGCTCTCTTAAGAAATGCGTTCACTTTCTTCTTCGTCTCCGAAATCGACCTTCCCCTGGGGCCACGTCCGCATTTCGGGGGGCGATCCGGCGACGACAGCGAGGAGAAGGCGCGAGGGACTTTTCCTCCTTCCCCTTACTGGACCCCGGAAAAAGGCGAACCCGCACTTCAGGAAGAGCGGGCGCCGAGAAACACCGTTGCTCTCGACCGCTTCGAGCCGTCCGCAGCAGCACTCACTCCCATGTGCGCCGAGCCCCGCGTACGTGTCTACACGCGCCATGCTCTTTGCCTGCTTGAGTTGAGGCCCGTTCCGTTGGGGTGTCCTCCAGCGCTGGAAAAGGAAACACGGTGACATCAATCAAGTCTGTGAGTACGTGTTTTCACAGCGTATGTGGCTAGGTTGTCGCGGACCGCGTCCAGGCACGAAGCAAGCGTCGGACTACTATTTTTGGCCCACCGACTAAATCGACGGATCCAGGTATGCGCGTCAACAACAAAAAAATGCACGAGACAGAAGGCAAGCATAAAGGTCTATGGTCACGCCGATATGACAGGAAGGCCCGAATATTTTGCTTCCAGATAAGACCACTTAGATAAGAAGCGAACGCCGAGCCATTTTTGTACTTTCTAAACAACTGGTTTCCTTGCGCACTACAAGATTTCGTTTCGAGAACGCCGTCGGTGAGACAATATGCTCGATGCGCATGACAGAACTCTGGTGTCTGAGTGTATGCCGTTTTATTCGCTAAATAGAGTGCATAATGATAGTATGTATGCTCTAAATAGCGAAGCCTCCATAATGACAGCTCCGCTGGCTTCCATCCTCAAAATATTGGACGGGCAGTGAACTTCTGCGTGGCTTTTCAATGCCTCCTGAATTTTCCGCTGCAGAATACCTGAAGAGAAATTTACGAAAGCGTTCGCCATATAGTAAGCATTAGGGGCATGCTTATTACGATATAATCATATTCTCTCCCCAAATTCAAGACCAATTAATTTAGCACAGAAACGCATGGTCACGTGCCTGCAGTAATTATGGCATAAAACATGGTATATATATAAGTATCATAATTGCGATATGGCTGAAATGTCGTTCCAAGCGCACTTAGACAAACGTATAGATTGTTATTCGTTTTCTGTAATACAGGGAAACTGCCCCCAAGTAGAAATATGTGCGAGTCAAGTCCCAAGGAAAGCGCTTCGCATTGGTTTGCACTTCAGAGTAGGGCATCATATTGGTTATCATTCTTCTTCCGCGTTTATTGTTTTTATTATTTTGCTGAGTATTTAGAAGCTGAGCACCTGGAACATGCGCCATGCTCCCTACCGGGCTGCATAAATTACGTGCCCTTCTCCTCTTCTAACCAGCACCACCACCACCTTTTGGATGGCTGCATGTGCCATCCTGCGCATGTGGTTTGTTTACCAAACTATTTTCAGGGAGAGAGAGAGAGAGAGAGAGAGAGAGAGAGAGAGAGAGAGAGAGAAAGAATATAAGTAAACTACTCTCAAATTACCATGGTCCTTATCGCGTGGTCGAGTACACTTCACCGATCAATTAGGCCATTTGAATTGCTTACGCCGCTCGGCAGCCGTCGTCAGTGCGGACGTGATATTCTTCACGTAGACTGCTTGAAGCCGCACTTCGACCTGCTTGTTCCCACCTCACCTATTAGACTTGAGCAGACCCTGGAAAGTGTGGCTTATACCCACACTGGAGGATTGACCAAGAAACGGCTGTTTTTTTAATCACCATGATGGCGTCTTTCTCGATGTGGGTAGTTACAATGGAGTGAAGACAATGACAGGGCTCCACGATCATCCCAAAAAGAAGTCATCATGAAATCGGCGTTCGAACACCACCATCTTCTTCATACTGTGTCCATTTCCGATCTACCACCTGTTCCCTGGGAACCTCCTTACAATATACTATATACGTTTCATTCTGACCTCTTTTAATTAATGTCTCATTTAACTCTTCTTAAGCGAACACATGCCGTTTTATGTCCGTTTACTTTAAAATTCTGTCATTCCGCGTAATGTTGCTCCTTTCCCCGTATAACGACCCCGCCGCGCTCTATGACCACTGGTTGTCTTCATGGAGAGCTACATCAATAAAAACAAACGACACCTGCTTGAACCGGGCTTTCATTTATTTCGTTTATTTCTTGCCAGAACACGTGCTGCCCTATTTATTCGCTGACCCACTCCGATGTCCTCAGATGTTTCACCTCTCACTTTCGCTTTCATGATGTGTTGTCCTTGGATGTTCCCCCAGTTCAGTTCGGATCCTTCAAGCTCTTACGCTCTTTCTTCGTATGTTCGAACTCGCGCTATGGAAGAATTCTACACTTTTCGCTTGAACGATCAGCGGGAGATTTTTCGTCATTATTTGGAAAATTTGCTGAATGCGCTGCAGCCCGCCCTTTTTCTTTGACAAAGTTCTTTTTCATAAGTGGACTCCCGTTTTTAGTAATTGATCGAGGTATATGTTCTCCTGTAGATATTGAAATGGTTGGTGAACTTTTTCGCCAGGCTGCTGAGCATACCATCTGTCCTCAGCCAGTGGTGTCGCCAGGGCACACTAAGCCCATGCTCTCCACCCCCCCCCCCCCCGAATTTCTTTATGCCAGTGACTCGTAGAGCACAAAGTGGCACTCGAACACGTCTGTCCGCCCGGCACCCGCTCAAAATAAAAAAGGTACACCCCCCCCCCCCCCCTCAAAAAAAAAGCCTGTCCTCAGCATGTTCATGTTCAGCCTAACCGACGTACTTTCTCGATTCAGATTTTCCGATTTGTCACCATCATTTTTGCAGCATTTATTCTGTACATGGCCCTACAGGAAAAAATTGCGTTAATAAAGGAAAGACACCACAAAGAAGGAACCCTTAAACAGGTTGAGCACAAAGAAGTGTTCCTTCTTTCTGGTGTCTTTTCTTTATCAGCGCATTTTTTTTCCTGTAAAGTAATGAACCAACTAGCCTCTCAAGCCGTTCTTATCTGCAAATTATCCGTCGATATGTATTCGCATTTCTGGCCAATCGAGTCGCATTACTTCTTTTTAAGGGGGAAGTGATCATTGAATTAGTCATTTATTCTTTTCAGAATGCTTTATCTATAACTATCCCACTGCCTTTATTGTGAACGCGCTCGCTGTGGAGTCTCTGCAGATGTCCGTGAGTGCATTCAAGCATTTCTCAAGCACTTGTCGGTGAAACAATGTCGATAACGCCACTGATATCTCTAGTGATTCGAACAACTTTCATTTGTCTATATGAAGGATTTTTTTTTGTTCTAGTAAGGTTTCTAAGTAACGTTGTCAACCACGTAGCTTTGATTCGTTATAAAGAACCCCTTCCTGAAGCTGGCTTGCTCTCCACATTGGGTTATGGCAAGTGTTCCTGTTATTTATCGCAATTACCTTTGTCAATATTTTATGAAGTACCTAAATTAAATGTCAATAGCTCGACAGCCTTTCCACTGAAAACCACTCAAAGCATGTTGTAAGTTTGAACTAATGGTTCGAGAAGCGTCATCTTCTCTTAAGGACATTCCGTGTTCAACAATTTCCATTGCTTCAATCTTCCATCCTCCTCTGAAATTGTGCGTTATGTAAATGTGCTCAAGTGTTTATTTTTTAATCTGCACTTTTGCGTAAAAGTGTAACATGGACATTCTAAAAGACAGCGTGCAAACACAGACATGAGAATTAAAGAAGACAAAACAGCCCAAACTCCGACCATCAAAACGTGGCGTAGGCGTTGCGCACATTGATTGCGTATCTCACAGGATAAACGAAAATAGAAAGCAGATGTGGCGTTACCGTTGGTTTTGTGGCTGCCAATAGGCTGGTTAAATTTTGTTTTTTATTTTATTTCATATACTGTTGGCCGTCATGGCCGTAACAGGATGAATATAGTAAATGTTAACATCAAACAAAATCAGGTACAACGTATTATAGTAAAGACAGGACTAGAAATATATATATTATCCAGAACAAAGAAAAAATATTTTAAAAACGCTGTTTATAAAAGCCTACATACATATATTGTGATGGTGGTATAGTATGCAATATGAAGTAACTACACGTTGTATTTTCGAACAACATGGCAATGTACGCACAATACTATAGTAATATTCAATGTTCACGACATATTTTTAATTCACTCTTCAAAGCTTTCTATGCTCTTTGAATTCAGTACCGGTACTGACAACTGATTCCACCCTTTTATTGTTCAGTGAAAAAAAGAATACGCGTATACATCAAGATTGAATTTTGGAACCAAAAACACAAATTGATTGCATGATCTGACATTGCTGGTGGGCCTGGAAACAAGATGGGGCTTAGTTTCAACATTGAGGTGTCCTTCTGATAACAAAAAAAAAAGATATTTAAGTCGATCAACGTTCCGTCGTGGGGCCAGCACAGGCAATTCAAGCAACTGAAGCATTTCAGAAACGGAGTCATTTCGAGAATAACACGATAAAGTTAGCTGGGCTTTTCTATGTATTTTTTCTATTCGATTTATTAACCCCGACTGAAGGGGATCCCACACTGCACTGGCGTATTCTAACGTTGGCCTTACGTAGGTCAAATATGTAGCAGCTCAACGAATAGTGTTGCTAGCTTTAGTTTGTGGTGAAGGAACCATAACTTTTTTTATGCAGCTGCACAATTGTTGTTCATGTGTGCTTTCGAACTTGTCATTTGAAATGGTTAAGTTTAGGTATTTTATCGAGTCAGCTTCGTTTAGAGTTGTGGAATTCATCTCATAAAGACATGTGATTACATGTTTTTTTTCCTGATCGTAACTCTGAGCATAATTTATTTAGACTCATTGATTTTCATTTGCCATTTAGTGGCCCATGCTTCTACAGCTCTAAGAGCTTGCTTAAGTGACGCCTGATAATTCTGGGCATTGATTTCATGATATCTAGGCAATTATCTTCGAACATCCTGGTGGTTATGTCGTCACCTATGCCATGAGCAACGTGATTCATGCAAATAAAAAAAACAGTGGTCCCAAAACAGATCGCTGTGGTACGCCTGAAGCTATGTTTAGCAGATCCGATTTGTTACCGTTTATTTCGACGTATTGTGTCAGACCTGCGATGTATGAGCGGATCCACGCTACTTCATAATGTATATCTATTTACAAAAGCTTATTTATTAACTTGGTGTGCACAACTCGGTCAAATGCCTTCGATAAATCTGAACATATGGCTTCGATCTGTTTTCTGTTATTGAGTGCAGTCGAAAAGTCATTGTTTCTACCAATTGTGTAACAGTAGATAGGTTCCACCAAAAGCCGTGCTGATTATAAGAAAAAAACGCCCTCTTAATTTCAAGATAACCATAGATTGA